GTCACCGGCTCCTCCATTCCCTAGTCACTACCTCACTCAACCCCGCCTCAGCCCCTACAAGCCCCACCCCAGTCTCTATAAAAGACTCTTCCTGCCCCGGCCATATTGCTTTTGTCTCTCCTTTGTTCAGAGACAGCCCAGCAGATCATCCCTGCAATAAAGGCTTGTTGTGGCCTGGTCTGGTCTTGGTCTTCGGCCCTTTTACCTGACACTTAGTTATACTAGTAAAGGTAGAGGGGGTTGGGAACGGGAGAATGAGAAAAGCAAAATTTGATAATGAGGTATGAGAAATAGGGAAAAGGTGAGATAGGTGTCTTATTGAGGGGTGAAAGGAAATTAGTGATGTTAAAGGACAGCCACAGAGAGGAGTGAGCAAGGAAAAGGAAAGACAGAACAGAGAGCAAAGTACAAGAAATGAAGAAGGAAGAGAAAAAATTGAAAGCGGAAAAGGAGAAGAAACTAACTAAGGGAAAAAGGGAAAAATCCCCAAACCTTCCAAAACCCAATGAAGGAAAGATGAAAACAATAAAACATAATGAAAGAAAAAATGATTGCGTCAAAGAAAACATTGTGTTTATGGGAGAAGCTTGGCTTCTGTGGAGTCACTAACTAACTGGAGTTTTTTTCCAGATCATTATTTGTCCAGTGCTGGTTTGGGGGATCTTTCTGAAACAAATCACATCCTCTGGTGTCTTGTTGGTGCTTGGGATTCTCTTTTAAGTTATATGGAAAAATGTTTAGGTGCTTTTCAGTTTTGTTTTGGTTGAGTTCTACTGTATTTGAATATTATTGTAGTTTTTTTTTCCCCTTGCATTGTTCTTCTTTGAATGGTTTTAAATTTGTGTGTTTGATAATAAAGTTATTTAAAAAAAAACTCTTCATGAATGAGTGGTTTCTTTCCCAGATCTGCAGTCTAAGACACAGCCAGACACAATTTTCTCCACCCAACCTTAGGCCTGTGAGTTTTAAGGCACCTTCCCGGCAAGGAAGCCCCTGACAATCACCTCAGACTGTGGTGGCCAGCCAAGCCATGACATGGCCTTGCTCCCACTGGTAGATGGGAAATGCAGTCAGCCCTCCGGTCTCTGCGTGATGTACGTCGTGGGTGGGGTTCACCTGGACTGTTGGACTTCATGTCAACAGTCGTAGGGCCTGGTTGCTCCCTTCTCTCTCTGGGTGTTATCCTTGCCCAAGATAAGTTTAGTTGGTTAGTCCCTGCCTCCGCTCTCTCATACTAAGGGAAGCAAAATGTCAAGCCAGCTCAGAGTTGGTAGATGGTCTCACCCGTGCTTGGGCAGAGTGTCTGGCATCAGCTTGCTTGCGCTCATTGGGCAAGGGTCATTACTTGTCCAGAGAAGGCCTGCCTGCTCACGCTGGGGGAGTCTTGCTCATGTCTTGAGTTGACTTGAACACACCCGATGTTTGTAAATCTTTGGTGAGGTCCACATTTCCTTTTTCGTTTTTCCTGAAATGTTGATTGGGATTTCTTGCCAGGAATGAGGGTTAAAAATAGTAATCTAGGGCTGGGGATTTAGCTCAGTGGTTCTGACACCTGCCTAGGAAGCACAGGGTCCCAAGTTCGATCCCTGGTACCAAAAAAATAATAGTCTAGGGCCGGGGATTTAGCTCAGTGGTGCCACACCTGCCTCGAAAGCATAAGGTCCTGAGTTCGATCCCCAGTACCAAAAACAAAAACAAAAACAAAAACAAAAAATAATGGTCTATACAATTTCAACACGTTACCCTACTGTTACGCAAAAATACTAGTACACTTTTAGGTTATTGGTGTCACGATTTATTAGGCACATATTTGAGAGGCCCTTTGTGTATATTGTTGTGCAGTTTCAAAAGTAACTGCCATTCTTGTGCCAGGCATCTTATGAAAGAGCACCTTGTTTTCAGTCTAACACTTGCCAACTGAGCTGTTTCAGCAAAGACAGGATCTTATTTTAAACCTCTATCAACCTCATGCCCTACCCCTCCCAATAGATGAGGAAACTGGAGCAGTGAGTAGATGCAAGCCTTAGGCTATGGAGCTGAAGAATGGAGTTTACACCTGCCTCATTTCATATTGTACTTGGATTATTAGGTATCATACAGAGAGCTACGGTGGTAGTGTTAGTCCTTCAGTGATTTCTTTGTAATTAGCTGCTTCTAAAATCTTGGTCATTTAAACCATTTCCATTTCCATGCATGTTATAGTTAGAAATGTTTTTCTTCATAACACATTTGAATGACATCAAAATATTGTTTAAAACATTTCACGAGGAAGAACTTTTCTTACTGTTGAAGACCTAACTGCACATGATAGGCAAAGATTATGACGACAGCATCAAGTGGAAAGTGTGGTCTGGATCCAAGGATGGATAGTCTTCTTTCTCATGTGCTGGTCTGGGTCCTCTTGTTTACACTGTTTCTGCTCAAGAATAGTAGTGGAATTTGGGCTTTGTATGAAACTCTTCAGAGACTGATTTAGCCCTTTTCAGGGTAGTGTGCAGAGCTGGGGGTGAGGGGAGGGAAGAGCAGCAGAGTGCTGTAGGCTGCTCATCCTGAGGACCAGAATGTGGCACCTGGGAGCTCCCCGCACTGGAGCAGGGTGAATGAGTGTGCAGGAAAGGCCAACCTGCACAGTAGTCATCCTAGACTCCCAGACTGATTCAGTTATACAGACACACATATCAATAGCCTGTATATGTAAAGCATAAAATTTTATTTTAAAAAATCCATGTGAGGCATAAAATATATATATTTTTTAAAATCCAGAGAATTTAGAATACCAGCACAATAGAAGTACACAGAAGCTGTTTAGAAATCACCGGGCTTCTCCAGCAAAGGCTGGGCCCTTCCCTGCTCTAAGCTTCCTTGCTGGCTGTACACACTAATGCTGCCCTGCAGCTGAGCTGTGAGCTTGGACACATGTGGAAGAGAACTGAGGTTCCTTCCCCGACTGCAGTGCTTTTAGCAGCCAGACAGGTCTGTAATCCAAGGGATACTGCATGGAGCAATGTCTAGAGACATTTTTGTCACACCTGCGGGCAGGGGGAGGGGAAACTAGTACTTCGGGCGTACAGTACAGTAGGTGGAGCCAGGAACGCTCACAATGTGCTAAAAGGTACAGGACAGCCCCTACAAAGTTATTTGGCTTAAGATGCCAACAGTGCCAAAGTGGAGAAACCCTGTTTTGAAGTCTCACTTCAGGAGTGTGTGTACGTGGATATGTGTGTTTGCTTGTATGTGCTGAGGCTGCAGGGGATTCAGAACCGGACCTGACTGTATTGTTACCGACCCAAGACACCAGCATCTCTTCTGAGAGCCAGACTGACCCTCCCTATGGCTTCTCCCGCCCTTCTGGGAGAGCTAAGCAAAATGGGTACGATCTGCGTGGTCTTCAGGCTTCTATTCTTCTAGTTCCTTCCTAAAATTCAGGGGGGCTTTGAAAGGTTGAGTGCTAGAGGCAATAACCAGACTCTGAAGCCGTCATTTTTTACTGCTTGTCATACAGAAAAAAATGAACATGTTTCTACAGCACAGTGGGATAAACTGAGGAAGCTGCTCAACAGTGGTCAGCTCTGAGGCTCTGGCCTTTCCCAGGGGTAAAGACAGCAGTGCCTCTGCACATGTGCTCCCTCTTCAGGACACAGGGGCTTGGAACCGCATAAAGTATTAGACTTAGCGCAAGGTCCTGAGTTTGATCCCCAGTACCATAAAGTATTAGACTTAGTAGTAGTGGAAGTACTAGCTATGCCAAGTATTAGTGCTAGAAAAGAACTAAAACAAATTAATCAGGAGATTTTGATAGTAGTCACAATTACTTGCAGGTCCTTACAACTGCCGAGGAAACCTGATTTTTCCCTTTGTATTTTTCCTTCCTTATAGTCCTTATTAAAGTTGCTTCGATTAACTTACAACTTAACATAATGGAGCAGGGTAGCACATAATTATGACTGCTAGAACGTTTGATATGAAGTTAACAGGTCCTACAATTTTCAGATAAGCTGTGGTTGTCATTATAAGAAAACTTTGGACAGAATTTAGAATTTTACTGCACTTTGGTTATAAGAGAAGTCCATGTGGAGAACACAAAGTAAGAAAGTTGGTTTGTTTTACATTCACTTTCTTTGTCTCACTGAACCAAAACCCCAGGAAACTGAATGAGCAACATATCTGAAGGTTATGGCAGGAGGTGAAGGAAAGTCATCTTTCTTGAATCTTCCTTTAAAAACTCATGTTTTGGATTGATCCTGCACCATGAAGGGGTCTTCCTGCTTGCATTTTCCTGAAAGTAGGTTGTTAGCTACAGATTTCTCTTCCCATTCTCTAGCTCTGAAATGCAGACACAACCCATATCAATGAGGACAGAAGTCTGAATGCTTTCAGTGGTTCTTCACTAAAATGATGTGCTTGCTTCGTGCTGCCAAAGCCCCTCGGGGTTAATTCTGGGTGATGTGTATCAAGCAGTTCAGAAGGTCTTTCCTGGAACACTGGTAGAGGGCCCAGGCGAGCTTGCCCACTGTGGCCCCCTTACTGCCTTCCCTCATCAGCCACTTCTGGAGCATCTGGTGAACCTTTTCGTGCAGTCCATCTCGTTCATAGTCATGGTCAATTTCATCAATCTGGGACTCTGTGAAGCCCAGTTTACGGGCACAGTTTTTCCATTGCTTTCCCAGGTTTTCCCTGACTGGATTTAGGTGATTATCAGTCAGACTAGTGGTATTATCTGCCAAATGGAAAGGAGAAGAAGGCATCAGGCCTTACCCACTTTGCACATTCTAGTTTGTTGGATTACTGAAAAACCTGAGTAAAGTGAAGAGTAGGAGAAGGCAGCAAAAAAGCTAACTTCACACTTGTACAGAACTGTTGATTAACCGGATGACAACTGACAGCCTCCCAGCCCATGTGGCATCACCATGCACCTGACAATGGGACAGCCCTCCCTTCCTTCCCTGAGACACACCTGATGGCTTTGTGAACAAAACCCATCCATGACTACTGAGTTGGGAGTTCTGTTCAACCCCAGCCCATGGACCAGTTTATGTTAAAGCTTTCCAGGGGAAAAGCAATTACCAATCTTGTTCCTTGGGACATTTCCCACCTATTTCTAGCCAGAGTCAATGCTACCCAGCTTCAGACAGTGCATTTCCCACTTCATCAAGGACAATGACCCCGTCGAGTGAACCTCATTCGGCTGTTACTCCTTCCTTCATCTCTCAAGGGATGAGGTATCCATGCTCTGAGGTCCATTTTTAGACCCACCCCTGCCTTACTTTCCCCTCCTCCCCCTAAACTACTGCCCCCTCTTCTCTTATTGGCATAACTTCTCTCTACTGATTTCATCTCCTTCGCCCTTCATAAAAATAACTAATAAAGGAAACAAAAATATAAAACAACCACCACATGCAAACCCCAGACTATCACAGTGTGGTCTCTGCTGCCACCACTGGTGTCAGCAGTCCGAGAACCTCTCAGACCTCTGTGAATTTTGCAGTCTCTTTAGGAGAGGAGTCCTAGGTTTCATCAGGTTCTCAAAGGCACCACTAGTTCCTCAAAAGGTAAGAACCTCTAAGGCTATCCTTCAGATGCATTAGACTAGGGCTTGGCAAACTGTGGCCCAGGTGCCAAATCCGGCCCCCTGCTAGTTGTCATTCAGTTTTAGTGGAACACTGCTATGCTCATCCGTGTACATACCGTCTACAGCTACTTTCACATTGCAGTGTCAGAGCTGAGGAGTTCAAGGAGACCTCAGGGTAGACCCTAACACATTTACCACCTGGTCCCTGCCAATCTCAAGGGTAGTCAGAAAGCTAAGTGCTTCATCACATTATTTTGACTTCTTGATGCTTTTCCCGGGCTATGTCTCAGAATTAATGTTACAGGGCTACACAGTGGAACCCAACAGAAGATAGCCCTCTGGTTTCCGTTACAGAAATGCTGTTGAGAGCAGTTTTCTTTATAGACTCCCCCCCCTTTTTTTTTGGTACCGGGGATTGAACTCAGGTCCTTATGCTTGCAGGGCAGGCAGCAGAACCACTGAGCTAAATCCCCAGACTCCCTTTTGATGGGAACCTGAGGGAGCTATTTTTCCCAGGTCTCAACAGTAACAGTGATGATGAAATGTAATGCTTTCATAGGTCCTCCTACATGGCAAGCAGTGTACTAAGTTCTTTACACCTGCTGCCTGCTTTAATTGTCACAACAGAGCTATGAATTAGACACTATAATTATCCCCATTAAAAATAAATTACTAAAGATTTATATCAAAATTAGTGAAGAAAAATGGGATATTCAGAGAGAATCACCAGGAAAGTTTAAAGATTCTACTATATCCCATTCAACAAATAAGAAAATTCAAGGTTGCTATACACATTGGGTCTTATTTTACTTTTTGTGTTGCTGGGGATTGAACTCGGGGCCTTGCACACACTAAGCAGGTGCTCTACCACTGAGCTCCACCCCCCAGTCCCAATGCTGGGTCCTAATATGTTCCAGTTGCCTTGAACCAGCGGTGATACATGTGACTGTTCCATTGGGCACCAGTGGTACATGCATGACTGTCTCATGCCACCCAATGGGATAGTCATACATGTACTACTGGTGGTTCACAGCCACCTGGTAGCAAGACATATGAATCGTGAACATGTTAAAGTTCAACTTACCAAAGATAGCTTGGTACTTAGAAGCTGACTCTTCTTCCAAGTTTGTACATACGTTGTCCAGTTGTGAATTCATTCCACCAATTTCCATGTAATTATAGGTTCCAATCTGGATGCCAGTACTGTTACTTATGTTGCATTTCATAAGCTCATCTGAATAGAGAGAAACACACAAGTAATTATAAGATCAAAAACAGAAGGAAATCCAGCGTGATAAAGGAACAGGGCTTTACTTCACATATTTAAGTTAAACTAATTATCCTATGCCACTCTTTAACATTTTCTTTTTCAAGATGTAACTACCTCACATCCACTGGGATGGCTCCTATTAAAATGCTGGCAAGAATGTGGAGAAAATGGAACCTTTGTACAATGTTGGTGGGAATATGAAATGGTGCAGCCATGTGGAAAACAGTATGGAGCTTCCTCAAAAAATTAATATAGAAATACTGTGCTATCCAGTAATTCCATTGCTCCAAAAGAATTTGATGCAGGAATATTTTTACACCCAGCAGCATATGAATGGTAGTCTATATATAAAACAGAATCGTAGCCTTAAAAAGGAAATTCTGATATATGTGGAAATGTCCATGAACCCTGAGGACATTTGCTAAAGAGGTGAGTCAAAAAAGGACAAATACTGTATGATTCCACTTATACAAAGTACCTAGAACCGTCAAAGTCACAGGGACAGAAAGTAAAATGGTGGCTGCCAGGGGTTGAGGTGGGCAGTGGAGTGTTGATGTTTAATAGGGACTGACAGACTGACTTTCAGTCTGGGAGGATAAAAATGTTCTGGAGATGGATGGTGTAATGGTTGCAAACACTGCAAATGTTCTTAACGCTTCTGAACTGTCCACCAAGAATGGTTAGGGTGGTAACATTCTCCTCTTTCTTGCCAACATTTTTCAAAATGGTAGCCATTCAAGCCGGGAATTTAGCTCAGTGGTTTCACCACCTGCCTCGCAAGCGCAAGGTCCCCGTATTAAAAAAAAAAAAAAAAGTTAAATAGCCATTCTGGTGTGAGGTGGAATGGTAATATTTTAAACGAGAAAATGCTAAGCGTTGGCATAGGATAATTATTTTAAACACTTGAAATAAAGCTGCATTCCTTGATGCACACACACAGCATCTCTGTCATTTTGGTTGGCCCATGAAGCTGATGACAGTGAGGCCCTTGGATGCCTAGTAGAGTCCCTGGTCTCAATCTAAAGTGCCTTCCAGCTCTGAATGCTTTGCCTTTGCAAGTGGTGTTTATAAATAACGAAAGTAATCGTGGTAATGGCAGAAGTTACCATTTATCGAGCACTTTCCATACGTTATTTAGGTGCAGTAATGAATGGCCTTATCCAATTTAATGCTCACAGCCCACTGTCCTTAGGTTAAGCTGCCACTGTTTAATGGTCTGTGTTAATGACTCACATACGAAGAGATTAAGTCAGAGGGCACCTGCTCGGCAGCGGGATTTTGCCCTGGACCTCTCTACCTGAAGCTTGCATTTCTGAATCAGTGCATTGTGCTGCCTTTCTGCTCAAGTCTGGCCACTGGAGAACCCAAGAACATTGTGAAATGGAGACACTGCTGAAATACTGTAGTGGAAACACGGGCGAGCGTGCAACAAATAACCCTTCCCAGGTAACATTTGCGTTTGTAATTGAGGATAACGAATCTTGGAGAGGCAGAAGGACCTGCTCAGTCACCCAGCCAGTGAGTGCCACCAAGACTAGAACACGGGTCTCCCAAATCCCATGGGGTGCCCTTTCCTAACGTCACTTAAAGAAGCACACCAAAGAAAAAGGTCCTGGGAGCTGTTTCATGAAAACGAAAGCTTATTCTCTTCTTTTGTAGTACTAGTGAGTGCGCCCCATTGAGCTACATCCTCAGTCCTTTTAAAAAATATTTTACTTTGAGACAGGTCCCTTTAAAGTGCCCAGGCTGGCCTAGAACTTGAAGGTCATCTGCCTCAGTTTCCTCAATAGCTGGGGTAACAGGCATATGCCACCACGCCAGACATTTATTTTCCCTTTGCATGTACTAGTACACACTCACTCATATGTTGCAGAGTAAATTAGAAGACTCACATTCGGTGCAGAGTTGGTCTATATGACGACAGCAAAAGCAAACAGAACAGTGAAATTTGCAATGAGAAACTCAAATTGTTCATTTACTAACACTGTGCTTTTCAGGACTATCACTGGGGGCAGAAGCACGGATAACCCCACCACTGATTATAGACTGAGGTCTTCCTTTTACCACAGAGAGCCTCTCAGAATCATGAAGAAGTTGGAACCCAGTATGTCTGTTATTTGTAGAACCAAGTACCAGAGCGAGAAGAGAACAGAAGGAAAGAGGTTCCTGACAGCAAACTAGTGAGCATGGGTTGCTAATATGGCGAGAAGACCAAAAAAAATGGCACATTACATACTGGTTTGTGATCTGCCCTCCACCTCCCAGGATTTAAGCTCCACGAGGGAAGGCACTCACTCAGGCTGCCCGTTCATCTCTCTAGTCCCTAAAAACTGCCTACCACAAAGTGGGAAGTGCTTTGGAAATTTTTACTGAATTACTCATGAATGAATAAAATGATGTAGCAGCACTCAAGAAAAATTTTAATTGCAGACACAAAAGAAACAAAAGGACATTGCACTCATGATTATATATAGTGTAGATCCCGCTTAATACCTTTTCCAATATTTTCTGTTCCATTGATTGTACAGCAGACTCTATGGGAAAAATCCAGAATGCTTCCATAGGAAGTTTCTGAAGAATTTTCCCTTTTGAAAGTAAATGTGACAGAGTGCTGTGTTTTTTGTTTTTTGCTATGTTGGGGATGCAATTCAGGGACTCACCCCAGTTAGGCGCTCTGCCATTGAGCTACACTGCCAGCCCAGAAAACTCCATGGTTTTCAAAGCTTTATCTACCTATACTGATTTCAAGACTCCCAGGACACAGCATAGGCAGTGCTAATAGATGACATCCAGGTGGTTAACATGGTGGGGGTAAGGGTTATTTGGTAATAATGCTGGATATTTAGTTACACCATTTCTACTCGAGTTTCAGGAACTATGAGCAACTAGCTTTCAGTCCACCTGACAGAGACATGGAAATTGAAAGAGAAGTTCTTATCACAAAAGGTAGTCTTTGATTTGCATAAGAAACAAAAATTTCCAAGACATTTCTTACCTTTAGAAAACAACAAGCAAGATAAAAAAGTATAAGCAAGTATCTTCCCATTTATTTGAGACAGGGTATAATGACTGGGTCTACTATGCTGTTTGGGTTAGTGTAGAAGACACCTGCCAATTACAAGGATCTGTAACCCAACACCTGTGGGGAGCTGGGATGAGCCCTAAGCCAAAACCGAAATATTGCCAGCTCAAGTGGTGTGATGGAGACCATCCTACGGTGGTAAGTTGCATCTGGTCACTGAAGACTGTACTGAAGACTGTACAGCTTGCTCTTTGTCGCCATCAATAACTTACAGTCAACAATGGAGCTAAAAGCTGCTTTGTTTTTAGAAAAATAAAGAAATAGGAGACTGTGACTTTTGAACATTTGTTTACCTGTTGATGGCAAGGAGTAGAATGGAAGGGTGGGTGTACTTCCTGCTGGGTTGGTCTCAGGCACTGGGGTCTTAAACAGATTGGGCATTTGGCTTGGATGTAATGCATACCAAATCCCTGAACCTGGTGTTCCTGGATCCAATGGCCTTATTCCACGCCCAGACAGATTATAGAATTCGTTGCTCCAATACGGTACCTGGGGTTGGCTGGCTACCCCTGTCGGCTGGTGTCCTGCATTACTGTGAATAACTGCACTGGGATAAGCAGGACTTTTTACCCTCGTGTTCTGAGCACTCTCAGCAGGTCTTGGCTGTGCAAAAGGGTCGTGAGAGACCCTCCGTCTCCTCTCCTCCTCCATGTTGTAAGCCACATTCTGTCTGGGCTGTTGTTTCGTCTGCCTGTCCATGCGGCTACCAAAAACATGATAGTTGGCTTCCTCCTGGAGTTTATGCTGCAGGATGGGTTCATGCTCTTCCTGCTGGTGTTCTAGGGAGGCAGAAAACCAGGACTCCTCCACAGGTCCTATTTCGAGTCCCTGGGAACTATGCAGCGAGCCAGGCTGTTCTGTAGCAGAGAAGTGATTGATGTGAGTTTCATGAAACAAAAAGTGAAATAAAACCCAAACACCATCATGAATCTGTCCTTCAAAATAACAAGGAAAAGTAAAAAGCACCTAGTAGGCAGTCCTCTTCTTGGGAGCTTGTAGATAATCAGTAGGAGCTCCCAGCTAGGGGGAAGAGCATGAGGGAAGTCAGAACAGCAACAGAAGTGAGTGTCAGAGGAAGAGGGGACGTGGGCTTCAGCAGAGAAGGTGACTGTCACCTTGGAATGGTTTAGGGCAGAAGTAAGAAGAGGAGCAGCCTTCCTATGCACTTTCCATTGATTCTTTCATTCCTTAAAAGCTGTATGGGAGTAGGAGCAATTATTTTCATGACTTGATGGATGAGGTTTTGGTGAAGTTAAATAATTTGTCCCAGATCAGACAGAAGTGACTTCAGTACCCTATACTTTCCTTCCCCCGTGTCATGATGAAAAAAAGTACCTCTGCTTAAATCGGAGACCAAGCTCTCGGCCTATGCTCTGAATTGGGTCAACTCTGACTTCCCCGAGGAGTCTGCCCTGCAAATATCCCCCTTCTTTCTCCTGAACCATGGCTTCCCATCAGGCATATGAGGCCTCGTGTGTTCAAAGCACTCTTAGGGTTTGGCGAGCACACTGCTATTTAATATTCTAAAAATATGTAACTGGACTTCCAAATATATTATAAGTTTCTTTAAGACAGGTATTCAATTCTATAGTTCGTTCTGTTTCCCATATGATTTTGAGTAGGTTTTTTTAGTTTTTTGAGACAAGGTCTTGCTATGTAGTTCAGGCTGGCCTTGAACTTATGCTGCTCCTGCCTCGGCCTGTCAAGTGCTGAGTCTACAGGCGCGTGCCACCACACCTGGCTCCTGAGTAGTAGTTTAGAGAGTAGAACGAATGAATGAGCAAATAAATAAACAGATCTCAACCACAGTTACCTGAATTTGACCTGCTTGGAGGTTCTGCCACACAATCCAGTTGGAGAGACTGCATTCTCCTCAAAACTTCATTTTGCATGGGATACTCTTTCTATAATTAAGAGCATCAATATACACTTTATTAAACAGCAGAAAATATTGAGTCCCAGAAAATTATTATAAAAAGAGTGGCTCTTGTCAGATAGAAATTTCACTCAAATCTTATTAGCAAGCACTGTTAAAAAATAAACATTTTTTTCCAAATAGTTAAAATAAGCTTAGAAAGAACAAAGCTGGAGAACTCACATTTGCTGATTTTAAAACATACTATAAGGCTACAGTAATCAAGCCATTGTGATACCCGAATAAAGACAAACATACACCAATGGAACAGAATGGAGAGCCCCAAAATAACCCTTCCCATATAGGGTTGGCTGACTTTCGACAAGGGATCCAGGACCATTCAATGAGGAAGACTGAAGATGCACATGATAGAGAATGAAGCTGGACCTTTACCTTATACCATATACAAAAATTAACTGAACCTACACTTTTTAGAAGAAAATGTAAGAGAGAACCTCATGACATTGGTTGTGGCAATCATTTCTTGGATATGACACCAAAAGCATAGACAACTAAAGTAAAAATAGATAAATTTGACTACATCAAAGTTAAAACCTTTTGTGCATCAAAGGGCACTATCGGGAGTGAAGAGATAACCCAGACAATGGGGGAAAATTGTAAAACCTATGTATTTGATGAGAGATGACTACTCAGAATAGAGAAACTTATGACTCAACAAAAAACAACCAAATCCAAAAACTAGCAAAGGACTTGAACAAACATTTCTCCAAAGAAGATATAGAAATGGCCAACATGCGCATGAAAGGATGCTCAACATCATTAGAGAAATGGACATCAAAACCACAAGGAAATAACACTTCATACTTATTAACGGTACGTGAAGCAAACAACAAACAGTAATTATTGTTGTGAGGATGTGGGAATTGGAAGGAACCTTTGTGTATTTGGTGGAATTGCTATGGAAAGTAGTTTGACAGCTCCTAAGAAGTCAAACATAAAGTTAAACATATGGTCTGTCAATTCCACTCTTAGGTTTATACCTCAAAGAACTGAAGGCAGGGACTCAATGCTCAAGGCAGCATTATTCACAACAGCCAAAAAATGGAAAAGATCCAAAGAAGAATGGAGGAGTAAAATGTGGTATATCTATACAATGGAATATAGAGGAATGAAATTCTGACACATGCTAGAAAATGGATGAACCTTAAAAACATTACGCTAGGTGAAATATGTCCAACTCAAATGGGAAAATATTATGTGATCTTTTTTTATTTTGTGTGTGTGTGAGAGGCAGAGAGAAAGACAGGAATTTTTTCAAGATTTTGGGTATATGTTATGAAAAATTTCTGGCAGTAGCTTGCTTCCTGCCGTGTGTGTGTGTGTGTGTGTGTGTGTGTGTGTGTGTGCGCGCGCGCGCGCGCGCACCCCCGCTCTGCTCCTCTCACGGATTAGCTGGCCCCGGGCCTTAACCTACCACCTGCTCCTTCTGCCTCAGGCTGCTGCCTTCTGTCACTCCGCCCAGGGAAGGGTCAGGAGCCAGCACAAGTGACTCTCCCATCGCTGTCTGTCCCTTCAGGACTTCCTCCTCAGAATTATCACTCCCCGCCCTATACCCGTCTGCTGTCTGTTTAGACTTCTTCAAAGTAACCGATGTACTTATGATATTTCCTCCCTCTCCCAGTGCTGTTTTTGTTTTCATGTAGCTCTACGTATTTTCTCTCATTCAGTTTTGATGGAGAAGTGGGTCCAATTTGCCAACATGGTATTTTTATACACAACTGCAAATTTTACGTGTTTACCAAGAGTTTACCTCAAATCTCAGTTAATAAATCACACTGCTTTAGTTTTCATGATTGATAAGATATGTATTGATAATGTTAATATTTTGAATATCTGCTATATTACCTACCTTTAAACTCTTCAGATCTTTTTCTACAAATTCTTCTAATTCACTTTCATAAAAAGGCTTAAATTGCTCTTCTATACCTATATGAGAAAAACAGTCCTTTAAATTTCTTAAGTATTTTCTAAAATTAAAAATTAGCAATCTATTGTCTTCGAATTACTTACCTTATACCTGTGGCCAGAGCAGTGACATAAAGATTTAAACTCCAAATCACTGACTCTGATAAAGACTAAAGACCAGGAGACAGAAAAGGGTAAGAATAGCACTGAGAACCGAATGTTCCTGCTGGCAGTGTGAGCCTGCTCTGGATGCGAGTAATCTCCAAGTGAACAAGGATGAATGAATTCCATGTTTCCATTCCTCTGGCATCATATTCATGATAAGGTAGGACATTCAGGATAAGGACTGGATGTAAAGAGTTAAGAGATATTAGCCTTAAAAGGAAAAGGAAATTTCCATTTCCAGGAAGATGGAGTGGACATACTTTTCCTCATTTCTCCTGCTAAGCACAACAAGAAGTCTTAGATATATGTGAAACAAAAATGCAGACACTCTGGAAGGAGGAGAGAGGAACACAGACCAGCTAGGTCCTCAGCGTCTGAGAAAACACACAGGAGTGAGTTCCCTAGACTTTCTCTTTGCATCTTATACCCCTAAATTGGAGCTGAACAGCTAGCAACCCGGAATCATCAATAGGCACAGACAAAAACATCATCAACAATGAAAGCCCGCTTGCTGGCCACAGGACCAAGCAAGGGACAGCTTACCAACAGAGAAACCCCTTTGATTGATAACCTGTATCCCAGTGAAACACCACAGGAAATAACTCTGACTTCATCCTTACGTACACCAGCCAAGGCCAGGTGGACAGCCTAGACTTCCAGCCTCATGATAGTAATACAGTGCATCCCAACACCTCCACCAGAGAGGAAGGCAGGACTTTTCCCTTCTACAAGGTGGTAATGAGCTTCTCCACTCCTGTGCTGTCAGGAGGGCCACAGGGGTAACCTGGACATGTATCCCACATGGCAGTAACAGGATTCCCTTCCCCCGCTACTGAGGAAGAATTAGAGGAAGGCCGGTGCAAAGTCTGGACTTTCATCATTGTTTAGTAGTAATAAGGCACTTCCTTCATCTCAGGGGAGTGGAGACCATGTGAATTCTACTAAACTTCCATCACTGACCAGCTGTGAAAAGTAATCCCTGTCTTGGATGTCAGTGGGGCCGGAGTGGGGAACTTGGACTTGCAAGTCCATCTGGCATTAACAAGGTGGTAACTATCATTCCCATGCCAGAGCAGTGAGGGATCATGAGGATCCCTGAATTTGTAAGCAGTTCAGTAGAAGTGTGAGTAGCCTGGGTACCCTATTTGCAGCTGGTATCTACTATGGAACTAGTAGTATGAGACTAAGCCCCTTAAATTGGGGAGTCTGATGATAGCTCAGGGTAGTTAGTGCCAGAATTGGATTGAATTTTAGGATACTTGGTGACACAGTCGGTGTAAGGCACCACAACACAGTAATTAAAAATATAGGTAAGTACAATAGGCTTTCCTGTTCTCTTGAGTATTCAAAACTATGATAACTGAAGCAGAACTGTAACACTGATGTGTTCTGAATAAATGTAGAAAGATATTTAAGGCTATGGATAGGGGAAAATAAGGAGAAGTAAAGGAAGATAAGGTTTCTATATATCACTCAGACTGGTAAAATGACACCATTAGACTGTGAGAAATTATGTACAGATAATGTAGTACCTTAACATCTATTGTAAAAAACCATACACAGAGATACACTCAAAAATGATAAAGATGAATCAACGTGGAATTCTAAAATATGTTCAAGAACCCACAGGAGGGCGGGAAAAATGCTACTGTTTGGATCTTGAACCTGCCCCAAAGGCCTACGTGTTGAAGGCTTGGTCCCCAACTTGTGGGGTTAGGGTGACAACCTTGAGGAGGTAAGGCCTGGTGAAAGGAAGAAAGGTCACCGTGGACATGCCTTCCTCTTCCTTTCTCCTGTACATCCCAGCCATGAAGTGAATGGTTTTGCTGTGCCTGTGCTCCTTGCCATAAGACACTGCCTTGCCACAGGCTCAAAAACAATGAGGCAAGCCAACCATAGACTGAAACCACTGAAAGTGCACCAGATAAACATTTTCGCTTTTTAAGATGATTGTCTCAGGTATTTTATTATAGTAATGGAACACTGACTAATACAAAAAGAAGACCAAAAACAGGAGAAATGAAAGCAGAAAGAACCAAGGGAAGAAAAAAAATGACAAACTTGGACCCTAACTTGCTAATAATCATGTTAAGTTTAAATGATCTAAACAGGGCCAGGGATTTAGCTCAGTGGTTCTGCTGCCTGCCTTGCAAGCACAAGGACCCGAGTTTGATCCCTGGTGCCAAAAGAAAGAAAAGGTCTAAATACACCAATTAAAAGACAGGGATTGATAGAAGAGATTTAAAAACATGACCCAATTTTATGCTCTCACAAGAAACTCACTTTACATATAATAATACACGAAGGTTAAAGTAAAATGATGGAAAAGAAATATTAATCAAAGGAAAATGGGGAGGCTATATCAACTTCCAAAAAAGTAGATTTAAGCAGTGAATATTACCAGAGACGGATAAATTTACATAACTATAAGATCCAATCCACCAGACACAGAAATCCTGTGTATACATCAAACAAGATAAGCAAAATCTGAAAAGCAGAAGCTAAATCTGAAAACAGAAACCTACAAATTCACAGTTGTAGTTGGAGACTTGAACAGTCTTCTCTCAACAACTGAAAAAGCAACTAAACAGAAAGTCAGCAAACAGGAACACAAAAACAGCATCAACCAACAGGATTTAATAAAGATTTATATAACACTGTACCTAACATGAGTAGAAAACCCAAGTATTCTCCTTAAGTGTCAGCATGACACATACCAAGACAAACCACAAGCTGGCCCACCACAAAACCTCAACACACTTGAAAGAACTGGAACACAGAATATGTCCTCCGCCCACAATGAAATCAAACAAAAAAATCAGTAACAGCAGGATGAAAAGAAAATCTTCCAAGTCCTGAAAACTAAGCAAGACATTTCTAAATAATATATAGGTCAACAAAAAAGTCTGAAGGGAAATTTTAAAAATGCATTAAAGTTAATGAAAATAAAATACACACATCAAGACTTGTGGAAGCCATCTACAGCAGGGCTGAGAGGGAAATTTATGGCAATAAGTGTGCATATTAGAAAAGAGAAAAAGTCTCAAACCAGTAATCTGAGTTCTCATCTCAGGAACCTAGAAATGAAGAGCAAAACAAACACAAAGCAAACAGAAGGAAGGAAAAAACAGAGATAAGGGCAGAAATCAACGAAGAAAAAACAAACAGTAGAGAATAGTGAAACAAAAACTAGTTACTTGAAAAGATGAACAAAACTGATAAATCTCCAGCAAAAAATGAAAAAGAAAAGACATAAATTACTAGTATCTGGAATGAAATGGTAGTAACCCTCCAACATAAAAAATATAAGGGACACTAAAAGCAACTCTGTACACATAACCATAAAAATTTAGATGGAATAGACCACTTGCTGGAAAAATACAAACTACCACAGCTACCCCAATATGACACAGAACATCTTGCATAGTCCTACAACTATTAAGAAAATGGACTTCATAATTTAAACCACTCCTCCTCCATCTGTAGGTCCAGATGGTTTCATGGGAGAATTCGACCAAATTTTTTCAATATTCTGCACATTGACATATAATGTACTTAAATTAGTTACAGCAAGCAGAATGTTACCTATAGCTGATAACATAATTAATAATGAAAGACCGAATGGTTTCCCCCTAAGATTAGGAAGAAGATAAGGATGTCTTTTCAGTCCTAGCCAAGTTAGTGACAGATGTTCTAGGCAGTACAATAATGCAAGAAAATGAAAAAAAAGGCACGCAGTTAACATAATGACCTTTAATCCCACCCAAAATGCTGCAAATGACACGATTTCATTCTTCTTATGGCTGATTAATATTCTATTGTGTATCTATATGGTACCTCAGTTTCTTCACCCATTCATCCACTGACGGGCACCGAGGTTGACTGTATTTTTAGCTGTTGTGAACAGTGCCTCAGTAAACACAGAAGATGTTACCACTGGGGGAAGGAGTAAATGATACATACGATCTCGGTATTGTTTCTTATGACTGCATGTGAATTTACAACTACCCCAAAATAAGAACTTTTATTTTGAAAGTGAAATGGCACAAAACATGAGAGGAGAAGCCAGGAAAAGATTAAGAGTGATGAAGCATGTGTGAAAATCAGACAACAAAGTACCCCTGTAATCCTTTGGTGGTGGTGGTAGGCAGAGGTTTGCTTCTGTTTCTCATAGAAATCGGAGACAAGAACGCATTACAGGCATTTAGATGTTCCCCCAAAGCCTCATGCTTTCTCAGAGGTGGCGAATCTAGAGTGTGCGACTGATTCATGGTGGGGCCAGGCCCGAGGGCACCGGGATTAAGGGCGTGAATGCCACCCGCCCTAAGAAGTCTGAACAAGATAAAAGGGGCAGAAAGACTCTGCTAAGGTCCCTTGTTGCTTCTGCTGTCTTCTGCCACCATGAACTGTTGCCCCCCTGCCCTGTGCCACTCTGCCTTGGAGCCACTCGATTATGGACTGAAACCTCTACAAACCATGAGCTGATAAAACACTCCCCCTTTGCCTTTGGCTGTCAGGTATTTTGTCTCAGCAATGAGAGAAAAGTAACTAATAAGACAGCTCCTTAGTGCCTTCCTATTACATCTTTATTCCTCACCTGATTTACTTCTTTCCTTTCCCTATTTCATGGATGTTTCAAACATCCATGTCCCTTTATTTCTCTCTACAGTAGGACCAATGTAAACTCACAAAATACGTTCCCACAGATGCCAACTAAAAAGGGGAGAGGAAGAAATGAAAGAAGTTGTTAGGTCTCCCACCACCCCAGCAGCTATTATGTATCGTAGCTGCCCTCTTCCCATCGTGCCTTGCCCCCTCCCCTGTGTGACGTCATGCCAAGATGGCTGCTCCCACCAAACAAACCCTTCTTCCCAGCATGCCCCTGTTCCCGCCTAGAGAGTAACCTCCTACCACCTAGCGACATCACCGGCTCCTCCATTCCCTAGTCACTCCCTCACTCAACCCCGCCTCAGCCCCTACAAACCCCACCCCAGTCTCTATAAAAGACTCTCCCTGCCCCGGCCATATTGCTCTTGCCTCTCCTTTGTTCAGAGACAGCCCGGCAGATCTGTTCTCCTAATAAAGGCTTGTTGTGGCCTGGTCTGGTCTTGGTTTTTGGCCCTTTTACCTGACAGAAGTTAGGAAACAGGAAGGCCAGCTGAGCAACCCAGGTGCCCATCACCAGAGGAATGGACAAATAATCTGGTATATACATACATGGATTACTATCCAGCCATAAAAAGGAAGGAAATCGTGACACATGCTACAACGTGGATGACCCTAGAATACATTCATTACACTTAATGAAATAAGCCAGGCATAAAGGACAAAGATGATGACTCCACTTTACGAGGTACCAGAGTAGTCAGATTCACAGACACAAAGTAGAATGGTGACTGCCAGGGTGGAAGAGAAGAATGTGGGATTTGTGCTTCCCAGGGATGGCTGCACAGCAGCGGGAATGGACTTAATGCTACTGATGTGTACACTTACAAACAGCCATGATATATCCATATTTCTAACAATAAAAAGCGAATTCTAAAAATACAAACAAGAAGACCTCATATATCTTTATGGTTTTGAGGGGGATCTTTTCATTGAACAAAGTGAGTGAAAGATAGAAAGTCAGTTTGAAACAAGTTTTCTGCAGACTCAAACCACATCCCTGACACCATCTCACTCAGGGACGAATCCTACAGAGTCAGAAAAAAATGTCTTTACTAGGAAATGTTGGCCGAACTTCCGGGTCTTCCTCCCAGCAGAGTTCCATGAGGTGGATGATCTCCTTGGGGCAGCGCTCAGTGATCTCCTCCACGTTTGGCCTGTTCCCAGTTCTTATGCATATCAACAGGTGCTCTGCAGAGATGGCGTCTAGAGAGCAGAGAGAAGCTTTGCATGAGACCTTTGGCCCAGCCCGCTTCTCTCGGGCAGGAGACAACAGAACTCGGATGCTGCTGCTGAGTCTCTGCCCAGGCTAAGCTTTTAGCAGAGCAGCCCCATTTCATAGGGGCAGAATGGCCTGGTGACAGGGAGCTGACAGATGACCCAACTGCTCAGATCCACTCGTCAGATGATCCAACATTTTAAATTTCTGTGATGAAAGACAAAATTTGAAAGAAAGCTGCTTTCTTGTAGAACAAATGGCTTCTCTGGGTAAAGTCAATGGTATTCCCCAGATCTTCCTATCAAGACAGATACTGGACAGTCCTTGCCTTTAAGAAGTTTAAGGAGAGTAACTGAAAATATAGAGTGGTAATTGTTATTTTAAAATAAGGGGCTCAGGTAATAATTATGACTAGAGTAGATTTTGTTGAGTACAGAAAAATAAGTAGATGGTATCCAGGTAAAGAATGAGGAACCATGACCCAAGCAGGAGGACTCCAGTCCAGGGGAACAGGAAACTAGTAGACTGGAAAAGATGGAAGTCATGGTGCATCGCAGAATTTACTAGATAGGAATAATTGGGCATGCTGATAGAGGGAGAGGCAAGGGATCAGGCTAGAGGGAAGCAAAGGTCTGATACAAAGAGCTAGCCTCATCCCATACTGAGGAGTCTCAACGCTACCCTAAAGGCCAGGGAATCTGGGAAGGATTTTAAATGAGTGCAGTGGTCACAGCTGCCTTTTAGGATGACCATTTTGGCTGCCACCTGAATGGCGGAATGTATGACAACCTGCAGCAGAAATAAGGAGGGTGTGAACTAAACAGATGGCTGGTGCAGACAGAGGGAGACAGATGTAAAGCTTTGCGGTCTTACTGGAATGAGAGGTGAAGGGCCAGGCTGAGTCTGAGATGGCTCTGAGGTTGCAGGCATGCAACTCGGTATAGAGTTGGCCAAGTCATTCTCTGAACACCCAAAGAGGAGCAAAGGAGAAGAATTTACTGAGCACTGGCTGTGCTCCAGGCACCGTGTGTGCAGATGCTGAGGAAATGGCCGTGAATAAACGGGATGTGGCACCAGCCCTTGGGGAACGTGCAATCCAGTGAGCCAGACCGCCATTAATGGAACAATTTCAGATCCTAAATGATCCCACTGAAGGTCGTTCTCTCCTAACAGCTCTCATTGATATTACAGTCCCACCACTCTACAAATGTCTTACTTTCGTATGGCTCTTTATTTGCAAATATTGCCCAAAGAACTATGCCAAAGCTATACACATCTGACTTCTCTGTGGGCCTGACGTTGATGTCGCTGAGGTGCTCTGGGGCCATGTAATAAAGGGTGCCACCATTTTTCTTAGAGGTGCTGTTAGCCTTCCTCTGCTCATTGTGTTCCTCTTTAGTGAGTTTGCTCCACGTCTTAAAGGAAGCAACACCAAGGTCAGCTATCTGCAAAAGAGATCAAACCATTAGGATTACTGTGTGAAGGCCACAAACCAATCAGATTTGGCTTCAAATTTGGGGCTTCTCTGAGATGTGACTGAGGTACAGAAACAGTTACACTGAGAATGTTTAAATCAGCTTTGGAACAGACTCATAAAAGCGTAGTCTTTCCCCACTCATCTGGACAATCTCCCCTAAGAAATGTTCACATGATATGCTGATATCTCCATTCTTACGAAGTTAAAGGCAGAGAGGAAAGCAGAAGACATTTTTGCCATGACACCAACAACATGTGTTTACGTTCTGATTCTTCATTTACTCCCCACATGTGTTTCAGCTATTTCGGGGACTGGAGGGCCAAACATCATTTCCTTCTCCACAGATTTATGTAACAGACAGAGGTGAGGTGCTACACTTCTATTCCCCAGATGGCTTCCAGAGGCCATGGACTGAGTCTCCAAGGATCCCAAAGACACAGTGAGGACAAGTGCTGTGATGCTGCTTTTTTGAGTTTGTAGCCAGAACTTAAGCCAAGATGGGATAGGAAGGAAGAAAGGGAAAGAAACCCCAGAAAAGCAAAGACAAATACCAAGGTCAGACACTGAGCAAAGAGGGAGGTGGCAGGGCAAAGTGACAGAAGGACATGGTTAAGAAAGAACCCAAGGTGTCAGTTCCAAGTTCTCTTTTCAGAAATCCAAGCAAACATTTGGAAGCGCATTTTGGGATGCGATTATCTGAAACTCACAGATTGTAACCTTTAGTAAAATGAGAGAGGCTGCTGACTTAAAGAAAGAAACATCTTTAAAGACACTGGATTGGGCCGGGGATTTAGCTTAGTGGTTTCACCGCCTGCTGCGCAAGTGCAAGGACCTGAGTTCGATCTCCGGTACCAAAAAAATAAAAATAAATAAATAAATAAAGAGACTGGATAAAAACCTGTCCACAACTCAGAGTGTTAGACGCAGAATCTTGTGGGCATGTTCTGAGTTCCACCCCAGTCCTGCTTTTCCTTTTCAGATCTTTTGGTTTTGGTGCAGTGCTGGAGATGGAACCCAGGGCTTCCTGCATGCTAGGCAAGCGCCTGAACTGAGCTACATTCAGGTCCTTGTACTTAAGATTCCAGCTGCCAAAACCAATTAATGTGCTGCTCCCCCAAGTAAATCTTGTCCTGGAGTGAACAGAAGAAAGATCCTTTCCCTTGTTACCTTTACTACAATGGAATGAGTTTAAAAGAAAATTGATTTTTTAAAAAATGCACCAGATGAAAATAAATGAATAAAAAATTTAAATCAGCTGAATTCCAAAGCAGAGGCTTTTGATGCCCAAATGCCCAGTTCATTGCTGATCTGACTGCCTGGTCATATCTGAGTTCTAAGGCCCTCCCACACATCCCTCCACATTCTGCTGCATTTCCAGTTTCGGTTACACAGAGTCCCTGGAAAAACGATGAGGCTGATGGCCTATTTGGGGTGAACAGGTTTGAATGTTTCTATCTCAAAGTCTAACAGACGAGGATAACAAAACCTAGGGGCGCAGTTTGCTGGCCTACACCATCCAAATCTGCTCCTCAGCAAAAGGTATCAACCACACCCTTACAGTCATCTCCCAGCCCTGTCAAGGCTGGTCTGTCCTTTGGCAGCCTCACTGCAAGTTACGCACTGAGCTAGGTCTTCCTCTACCATCTGCCACCTACATGAATGGATTTACAGTGGAAGAGCAGAGTTGAAATGAACCTTCTAGAACCCTAGAGACTAAGTAAGGTTTACCTTAATGTGAAAGTCATTATCAACAAGGATATTTTCAGGCTTCAGGTCCTTATGTATCACACCTGCTCCATGTAAGTAGCACATTCCTTCAATAATTTCTGCAATTATCCTTCCTTTCACAGAAAGCGGGATACTGATCTGAAACAAATGAGAACATGTTTGTGCAAAGGAAGATAATGAAACAAGCAAAAGCCCCACCGAAGAGCGGTGGGAACTGAACCCGAGGACAGAGATGTCACATTTCCACCAGATGCCCTGCAGCACTGCTGTCCCTGTGGAACAAGCCCCCTTTCCAGAGATTCCATTCTAGGAGCTAAAGGGTACCGATGTGGTATCTTGTCAGTGTAAAAATAAAATTCCGTGCCAATTTCATGGAACATAAAAATACTATAAAATTAAACTCCTTTCCAAGACTTATTATTTAAGATTGTATCCTCAGTACCTGGAATGAATGAATGAACAAATATACAGACAAACATTTTCTATGGCATACTCATATAATGTGATCCTCTTATTTACAGTAACTACATGAACCATGTCAGGGACATGTGCATGTGATATAATGTTAAAATAAAAAACACAGGAAATATGTTCCCACTGATTACAACCATGTAAAACTCTATGCCATATGCATGATTCTAAAACTATGCTCAAGTGAATTAGTATCTACTCATTGATCTCGTGTTGAGCCCTTTAGGTCTGTGTACAGTCTCAGGGCACTCTTACAGTTATATTCTGACTATATCATCCATGTTAGTATAGACAACTCCAGTTCCTATTTCAGTGGTTAAATTTTAATTTTGCTTAACAATGAAAAACCTTGGAGGGGGTGAAGAGAGGGCAGGGGAAGGGAGAAAAAAGAAGAACCAAGAGAGTATGTAAAGATGCGTATCTCCAATGATGAACGTCATTACATTATACACCTAAAATGTACCAATAAAAGGATATACAAAAAACCAAAACAATGAAAAACCAGTTTATAAATAGGATGTTTCCTAAAAAGTGTCTGTACATTGGGTGATGGTTAACAGAAAAAACATTTAAACTACAGAATTAGATTCCCAGATCTACCTCTCAAACCACACTTAACACATAATGTAGCTGAACCACAGCTTCAGTAACTGGGTCACCGCCGTACAGAAAGGAGAAGAGATCTGTTTCCTTCTTCCTTGGTATACTGTTGGCCGTAGGAAAAACTTCTGAGCAGGCGAAGTTGGTCCTCCCCCGCTTCCAGCTTCTCTCTTGGGTCCTCCTGATTCTTCCTCAGCCCCAGAAGACTCATTTCTCAGCTAACATGTCTCCTTTCATCGCTGCTGGTCTCAGATGGCTTGAGCAAGGGGAGCAGTCTGGCCAGTTAGGACACAGCAGACCGAAGCGAGCACCTGCCCTCCACCCCCACAGGCCTGTGCCTGTGCCTGTGACAGCCCTACCGCCCTGGCAGCTGTGAAATGGGAGGGCAGAGGGAGGAAGGGAAGTGCCGTAAAACAGATCCCTGTCTCTGTACCACCTGCCCTCTACCAAACACAGTGACTGCAGTTCTGAAGATCTGGCTGTACTCTTCCCCTTGCTCCAGCATCGTCCCTGCCAGGAATGAACACATCATTTCCCTAGTCCAGTAGGCTGCAGGCCTCACCCGTCTGCCCAGGGTGCGGTGGGTGGCGGTCCCGTGTGCCTGCCACAGCGGACTCTGGGACGTCTACCACACACCATCACACCACATGGTCGCTTCCTGTCTGCCTCCTTTCCTTTGCCAACACCATTCTGGCTAGGACTCCTGAGCTACTAGCACAAGACCTTGATCATAACAGGTGGATAAACTTTAAAAAACTGTTTAAAATTATTCAGTTTTGGTAGACTAGTTTAGTGTTCCCATTTTAAATCTTATCCATTGTTCCTGCAGCTTATGTTCTATGTTTAACCTGTAATAAAAGATTCCTGGGACGGGGATTTGGCTCAGTGGTTCTGCCACCTGCCTCACAAGCACAAGGTCCTCAGTTCGATCCCCGGTACCAAAAAAAAAGTTTCCTAAATGGTTTCAAAGTACAGTCATGAATATTCTTCCATCTTCTTCTACATTATGTGTAGTGCAGATGCTTTCATGAATTGCTGTCATGGTCATGACGGTGTACATGCTGTCATCAGTTAACCCGTATTTGTCATCCATCACACATACACCCCACGTCAGACCATGTGCCCCTGAAGACTGGCCCTCTCTGGAGTGTGAATCAGAGGCTGGCAGGTATGGTAACAAGTCAACCACGGCACCAGATGCACAGGGGACCTTCTGAGCAAGGACACAGAACTGCCAGGGGGACGGAAGGGGAAAAACCCCCTCAGCAGGGGAAGGCAAGAGAGAGCTAAGAATTAGCACTGGAGGTGCATGCCTGTAACCCCCGCTACTCGGGAGGCGGGGGCAGGAAGATCACAAGTTCAAAGCCAGCCTGGGCAGCTCAGCGAGACACAGTGTCAAGATTTTTAAAAATAAGAAGAGCTAGAGGAGTGGGGATGCCGCCCAGTGGTAGAGCACCCCAGGTGTGACCCTTATTAGCAGACACACACACACACACACACGCACACGCGCACTCTAACAAAGACTGACTTCAGGAAATCCAAAAAACTATGGAGTAACTCTGGAAGGGATTATTTTTTATCAGTGAGCTACAGGCAGCCCCACAGTAGCACAGCAGCCAATCCACAGCGTGGAGTCTCCTACCTGGGCTCTGAGCACCTGCATGAGGTTGCCCTTCTCCATGTACTCCATCACCAGGGAGTAGTTCCCCTCCTCGATGATGACACCCAGCAGCCTCATCACGCGGCTGTGACTCAGTCTGTGCATCATCTTCCCCTCTTCTAGGAGGGACTCGTTGTACCTGCAGACGGGAAGACACCGTGCTGAGGTGGGCACAGCCAACCCTTCTCCTGGAGCCCAAGAGCCTCCCGTGCAGGGCCACACACCTCGCCACACGGGGTCGCATCTGGTGACCCCACGCGCAGACCACAAGTGTTACCCAGCAGGGGCCGCGTCACCCAGATGCCCTCTCCCAGGCCTGGCAGCAGGCGCTCAAGACTAAGTAAGCAAATGCAAAGCGCATGAGCAGAGCAACATGGCCTGAACAGAGCACCGTGCCGGACAGCACGTGACAGGAAAGAGCACGACGAAGCCGAGCCCTCTCGGAACTGCTCCAGTGAGGACAGAGAGAAGCAGAGCCCTCCCACTGCCTGCCTGTCTGTTTCCATCTTGAGGACTGGTCCTTGCTGGAAATGTAAAGCCAGGAAGCCTGTTCTCAGGATTCCTCCCATTTCCTTCACCTTACCTCCCGCATCAGCCTTTTTTCCTTCCCACAGGCTTCTCTCCCATGGTTTACCAGTTCTTCGCTAACTGGCCTCAGCACCCTCACCAGAGACGATGGTAATGGGTTATCGCTACTCTTGGCCTCGAGTCGGTGTTCCGAGACTACCGCAGGGTCCGCCCCACCCCGAAACCCAGGTGGCTCTAATCCACGAACCCTCCGAGATCACCGCTTCGGGGCCAGCTGGGAGGGAAGCCCCTGCCTCCGCCCCAACTCACTCCATGCGCTTGGGCCCCGTGTACACCTTTTTCAGGATCACAAATCCATGCGTCCTGTGGTAACATAAGGACACGGCCCCGAAGCCTCCGCTGTCCAGATCTTCTTTCTGCAGAAGGTCGCTGGAATTCATCTTAATGTCGTTCAAAGACATGTTGGCTTGCTTTCCGAATGCTCAGAATGCCTGAAACACACCACTTTCTTTTTTATTTGCTTGTGTGTCCTTGGTGCTGTGCCCTGTAAGGAAACAGAGGACATCTTAGGGCAAAGAGATCTTGATGCAAAAAACCACATGCTTAGTGTGCCTTTGTTCTTCTGAGGACAGATGACATAATCTCTCAGATGAGCTGTTTTCTAAGAATCACAGAACACCATAACTTTTATTCCCACAGACTTTTCATTTCTGGCAATATGGTGCAGATGAAAAATTAAAAAACCTTCCCGCTACAGACCTACATGTGTGGGAGAACATAATTCAAACATCTACTCACATGCATACCTAACTCAGTGGAAAGAAAAGGAGTTCCAGGAAGAGAAAACAAACAGCACTGGATGAGGAGCAGGGGCTTGGGTGGGGGCCCTGGAGGCCACCCTCACCGTCCAGCCATCTGGGGCTTAAAGTTCCTCAAACTGAAATGAAGAATAAAACTACCCAGGGAGTCACAGTGTGATACCAATGCACACCTACCTGGATATCCAAAAGTACAAAGACAGCCAAATACTGGCAACAACAGGAAGCAGCAGAGATTCTCACCATACGTTGTTGGCAGGAGTATAAACTGGTACAGCCACTTGGGGAAAAGGTCTGACAGTTCCTTATAAAACTAAACACACCCCTATATACTATGCCCCAGCAATTCTACTCCTGAGAGAAATGAAAACATACATCCAAAAAGGTGGGCAACGTTCAGAAGCAGCTTTATTCATAACAGCTGCAAAGGGGAAACGGCTGTCCTCCGGGAAGGGGCGTGGCAAAGTGTTGGACAAAGTAGGATCACTCAGCAGTAAACAGGAGCTGAATTACTAATGCACAAAACAACACAGATGAAATGCAAAACATGATGCTGGGTGACAGGAATGCAGAAGAAGACATACTCCCTTTTCTATGAAGTTCTAAAACGGGCAAAACTAATCTACAGTGGAAAGAGAAGACTCGCTGCCTGCTGGCAGGGTGAGAAGTGAGTAGACAGGGCACAGGAGACTTGCTGGGGGATGTTCTGTGACGTCAGCAGGGTTAGGGTTTTGCAGACATAGGCACCAGCCAGGACCAAGCAGGGTAAGTCAGCCCTCCGTATCTGTGGGTTCTGCGTCTGTGCACTTAGCCAATGCCAACAGAAAATGTTCTTGAAAAACTGCATCTGTGCTGGACATATACAGACATTTTCTCCTTGTCACTACTCTCTAAACCACACAGTGTAACAAGCATTTGCATAGCATTTATACCGCATGAGGTCCAGGAGAGGGTGCGTAAGTTCTATGCAAATACTATGCTATTTTATATAAGGGACTTGGGCATCTTCAGATTTCTGTATCTGAGGGGGTCCTGAAATCAGTCCCCTGAGGACACCAAGGTACGACTGTACTCTTAAGAACTGCAGATAAATTTTACCTCAGAAGGGAAATCTGTAAATGAACTGAACTCTAATTTGTAGTAGCCATGCTGAAGTACTTAAGGGGATAGTGATAAAGCAAGCAGAGCAAAACTACCAGTAGTGCACATATGGGAGTACACTGTAAAATATTTTTAACTTTGCACTTTGTTGTTTTTCATTGTAGAATGCTGGAAAGCATGGAGTTTAAAAGTACCATGGTGGGGGAGCTTTCTACAAATGCATGGGCTGTCTACAGTTTTGTCCAGTGGCCTGCTGCAGACGACTCAGATAAGTGACCTTCCACACCTGTGCAAAGGCTGCCCAGATGATGCCCACACACAGCATGGTAGGCTGACAGTGCTGGGCACCCTCCCCGTGATGGAAGGCATTGCCAAGCAAGAGAAGTGTCTTCCAGGAAAGAAGCACACCTGTGAGACAGGGTCAGGGAGAGGAAGGGGGTGCTGCCAGGTAAAGGGTGGAGGCTGCGGGGAAGGGGTGAGGCCCAGACTGAAGGAGAGATACCAGGTGCCATAACATAGCATCAGCTCAAAGAGCGAGGTCTCCTCCTGTGAGGCCGAGCTCCAGCTCTGTAGTTCATTAGCCTGTGACCTTGGGACAGTTACTTCACCCTCAATTTCCTCAATGCAAAAGGGTTAATAATGACCCCTCACAGGGCAGGTAAGGATTGTACGAGAAAATATTCAATGACATCTTGGCTGCATGCTGTAGGGTCCTGGCTGTGGTTAGCCGGGACACTCAGTTAGTTACTCATCTTGACTCCCCTCAGTGTCAGCGTGCCCTGGGACTCTGCCCAGGAGCTCCACACCGGCCAGTCCTCCTGAGGACGAGGCTGGGGAGGGGATGCACAGATACCAGCCATGGGAAAGACACCGAAATAGTAACAAGGGTTTTTTTCTGTATGGTAAGGCACTTTTTTGCTTTCTCTACACTCTTACTATATTTTCTATAATAAAACTTACACTTACAATAAAATTATGTTTAAAAAGGAGTAATTCCTGGACTCAGTAGTTCCTTGAGGTATCAAGTATGAGATGCTGATACAGTTATGCAAATGACGTTCTTGGTAACATTACACAGAACAGCGAAAGCACGGAGAACAACCTGTCTGTGCAGCGGAGAGAATAAGTTATGAGCCATCCATACTCCGAAATCTGTTCAACAGTTTTTAAAAACAACGCTGTGGAAGAATGTTTAATAACAAAACAAAGTGCTCACAGACAGTACACTACAATCATGTCCTGAAACATGCCCACTTGCGGGAAGAGCCCCGCTGTAAGAGTTCTGTGTGGTACTTGTCCTTCAGCCCAGCCAGCGTCTCCCCAAACTTACCAGTGCCGAATCGGACCCCCACAGCCTCCTGCAGGCTCAGTGGAGCCAGGGGAAGAGGCCTCCGGGCTTGCCCGCTGCTCTTGCAAGTGAGGCTCAGGACCCAAGCCAGCTCTCACAGTCCTGTGGTTTGCTGGTTTAGTCTGGTCTTTGTCTCCTAGCTTTGCTAGGTCTTTCAATTATTTTGTGTTTCCTGTCCCCCCCTCTTTTCCCAAGAAATGATTCACATCCTCAGTCCTGACTCATATTAGAGAAATGGCATGTGTCATAGAACCAGAGAAAACAATCCAGAAAATCATTTGGAACAAGAGACCTAGAATGGCAAAAACAATTCTAGGCAACAGGGAAATGACAGAAGTTATCACAATTCCCAACTTGAAACTATACTACAAAGCTACTGTGATAAAAACAGCATGGTATTGGCAAAGAAACAGACCCAATGATCAGTGGAATAGATTAGAAGATGCAGAAATGGGTCAAGGATTTAGCTCAGTGATTTCACTGCCTGCTGTGCAGGCACAAGGACCCAAGTTCGATCCCCGGTACCAAAAAAAAAAAGAAGATGCAGAAACAACTCCAGATATACTCAGCTACCCCATCTTTGACAAAAGAGGCAACCATTCTCACTGGAGGAAAGATAGCCTCTTTAATAAATAGTGTTGGAAAAACTGGATTTCAACTTGCCAAAGATTAAAACTAGACCCCTATCTTTTACCATGCACTAAACTAAAATCCAAGTGGATTAAAGATCTAAATATTAAAATAGAAACACTGAAATGGCTGAAAGATAAGTTAGGTAGAACTCTCGAAGACACTGGCATAGGAAAAGACTTTATGAACAAAACCTCAGTAGCACGGGAACTAGCACAAAGAATCAACAACTGGGATCTCATCTTATTAAAAAGCTTCTGCACTGCAAGAGAAACCAAAAACCGA